AATATATACGAACTCTTATATGTTAATGTGTTTTTTATATAGAAACATTTGTACGGATATGTCTACAACAGTCCCTGCCGAACATTTTACAGGTTGAGATTAGAGGGTTGGAATCTAAGTGTAACTATTATTCTCTTATTTTCTCCAAGAGCAGCAGACTTTGTAAAGAAAAAATATGATATTCTTAGAGCATAGTACGGAGAATCAGAATATCTAATAAAAAACTATATCAAAAAAAATATAAAACTATATTAAAAAAATATCAAAAAAAAAATTGAAACTAAAACTAAATATTCATATTTTTTCACATCTTCTCATTTATTTTTTACAAAATCAATTATTTTTTAACTTAACGCTACAAAATATGAACGAAATAAATAGTAAATGCAGGTAAAATTATAAGTTATTTACATTTATTTTTTATGAAAAATATACATTTCTTTTATAATTGTGTCTGTGATAACAGAAAGTAAAAAAAATAGAAATTACAAAATAATTATTTATTTAAAAAATTTAGTTTTATAACTTATATTTAAGGCCAACAGCTAAACTGAAGGTGGTCTCTACCGTTAACAGCACGAACCTGTCTAAATAACGCGAGCGACAAGAGAATTTACTAGCACCAATGAATGAGAAAAGGTGGAGAACGGGGCAATTGCGCCCGGCACCGAAGTTCTCAAGGGGCTCAGAGTTCTCAAGTGGCTCGGTGTTCTCAGGAAAGCACGTTGCTCACCAATACTTTGCCAACAACTCACTACAACCCTTCTCTGGCGCAAGTTTTGCGCTCTACTCTCTGCGGAATGTTTTCTGAACAACAACAACAAACTATATATAATATAATAGAAAAAACCGAAGCGTAATACTAAAATCTAGTCATATACATGTCTCTAAGTAAGCAATTAAGTATTTAAAAATGCGCCAACTTGGCTTAGAATGATTAGATCGTCAACATAAAATGCTTGCTACGATTACCCGAGTGTTTTAGAAATTAAAAAAAATCATATGCTACAATAATAATAATGAGGCGCACGCTCAATATGCAGTTTACACCCACCAAACGTATAGGTCGCATAGCAACATAACAGTTTACAACCATGCGCATGCGTATATTTGTCAAGCGCATGCCCTTCTACTGCGCGTCTATGTGCTTTTCTTCGCTTTCTTTGCGTGTCTGCGTTGCTGTTTGCTGTCCGCCTGCTTTTGTGGCTGCTGCTTTGACTTGTTGTCACACACTCGCTTCACACCCGGCCGCTTCTTCTGCTCGGCAGCGGCATGCGCGCGCCGACAGTGCACGATTAGGCTGCTGCGTTGCTTAAAGGCCTGCATGCAATGCTGACAGCGTTGTTTCTTCGCGCGATGCTTCCAGTGTTTGTGCAGCGTTAGCGAACCCTTTGTATGATAGTTGAAGACGAGCATTGCCGCCGCGCGTCGCTTATCTTGTGCGCACAAGCGGCAGCTCAGCTTGTGATCCACCATGCGATTCAAGTACTTGTCGCGCAGCATGGCAACTATCACCTCTGGTGGCGCGCGTATCTTCTTCGGTTGCGCTTGTTTGCGCGACGAACGCTTATCGTTGGCGCTCTGCACTGCAGTCGGTTGTTGTTGCTTTTGTGGCGGTTGCGTGGGTGCTGCTTGTATAACGGAGACTTGCGCGGCTTGCGGCAACAGCGTGTTTGCCGTTTGCGCGCTTAATGTGGGCGTAGTTGTGGCTGTGTGATGTATGGTGGCCTCGTCGGCGTGCGTGGGTTTCTTGCTGAAGTCCAATGGCGCGGTGAGGTATTGCTGCTGTGAGGCGGCGTCCGCCAACAGCGGCAACAATGTGGCTATTTGTGAAAGTGATTTGCGGCGCTTGTTGGGTGGCTGCTGCAATGGCGCGTTTGACGCCTGCATTGGTTGTGGCTGCGGCATGAGCGGTGCGATCGGCGCTAGTGTGACGGCGGGTGTGGCCAACAATGCTTGCTGTGTGGGACTCAGACGTTGTTGGTTGATTTGTGAAGTAGTGCTGGCGGCATGACGCTGCTTCTGTGCGGTGGACACTTTCGGCGTGATGGTCAGCGTTATGTCCTCTTTATTGCGCAAATACTCAATGTACTCCTCGGTCTCGCTACGCATGCGCTTGCGTTGTGAGGAGGTGGTGGGCTTTTGTTGCAGCTGCTCCGTTGGCTGTTGGCTGTCGTGCGGCGTTTCCGTTGCTGTCGGCATAGCCGGATACATGAGCGGCGTTTCGGCGTAATACTTATTGATGATGTCCTTGACATAATTCTGTATATGCGTGCTGACCTTATTCAAATTCTGATACTCCATGTTGCTGAGGAATGTGGCAGCCGCATTCTGTTTGTTGTTCTCCTTGTTGTCGCGATCCAAGTGTAGCAGATCTAGACGATGTTCGCGTTGGTGATGCGCGGCATTCGTGGTACGTTGATTGAGCGTTCGTGTTGTTCTCGTATGCTGTTGTTGCTGGTAATTTATTGTATTGTTTAGTTTGTTGTTGTTGTTATACGCGGGAGGCGATCTAATAAGCTGCTCTTGATTCTCTTGATCTTCATCGTTGTCGTGCTGCGCCTGATATTTGCGCTTGTTGCTGCTGCTGCTGTTGCTGGCCGCTGCTACGGCTGCTGCCGCCATCATTTCGATTGCGCTCTCCGTTGTTTCTTGCAAATCGAAATTTTCGCTCAAGAATGCCGACATCGCCTTTCTCTGCTCACTATTACTGTAACTGCTACTGCTGCCATTTGTTGTTGTTGCTGCTGTTGCTGCTGAGCTAGACATGTAATGTTGTCTACCGCCACCAGCTTTCAACGGTGATGCGCCACCATCGCTAGACGATGCTGTCGACGAGGCGGACGATGGTGTATTCTCATCATCGCCCGTCGAGTGTTGTCGCAGACGCTTATGTGTGTTGTTGTTGCTGTTGCCGTTGTGATGATGATATTTCATGCGTTGCTGTTGTTGCTGTAGCTGCAGTTGTTGCTGATAGTTGGCAAAGTTGCTGTTGTTGCTTAGGGAATGGAGTAGCGCCGCAGCCTCTTTGGTCGTCCATTGTGAAGGCAGTTTATTATTGAACAGGAGTTGATGATTGGCTGGAATTTTCAACTCTTGCACGCCTCCCGCCTTATGAAAATCCTGAGCGACTGAAGCGGTGTTGCGACTGATGGCGTCCATTTTCAGGAGACTGCAGGGACAAGGAGTAAATACAGAAATTAGTATCAGATGTAGAAAAATGTGTCTCGTATATAAAAACTTAAATAAAAATTAACATAAAATGGAAAAATGTTAAAACGGGGTTGAATGTGAGGTTATAAAAGGAAAGAAACTAAATTAATGTAAAGCCCACAAAGTATATGAAAATAATTTGTTTAAACGTAAAAGGAGAGTTGATACATAAAACAAAGTTAAAAAAAAAAACGACGACTTCGACTGAACCCGAAGCTATAAAACGCTTCACAAATAAAATCAGTCGGTTAGTTTGCATGGCAGCTATATGCTAGAGGCTACCGATCTGAACAATTTCTTCAGAGATGGTAGCGTTGTCTTTGACAGTTATCCCATCTAAAATTCATGAAGATATCTCGTCAAATAAAAAAGTTTGTCATACTTGATTTTATTTGGTTTGTTTGTATGGCAGCTATATGCTATAGTGGACCGATTTGAATAATTTCAGCAGAGGTTGTAGGGACTTGGACATCTTGGACAATAAGCCATGCCGATTTTGGTGAAGATACCTTGTCTTATAACGAGTTTTACATACAAGGACTTGATTTTGGTCGGTTAGTTTATATGGCAGCCATATGTTATATGAAACCGATCTGAACAATTTGTTCGTAGATTGTAGCATTGCCTTGAAAAATTCTTCACGTCAAATTTCGTAGAGATATCTTGACAAATAAGAAAGTTTTTCATACAAGAACTTCATTTTAATCGGTCGGTTTGTATGGCAGCTATATGCTAAAGTGAACCGATCTGAACAATTTCTTCGGAGATTGCAGCTTTGCCTTAAATAATTATCCGTGCCAAAATTCGTGAAAATCCCTTGACGAATAAAAAAGTTTTTCCTACAAGGACTTCAATTTGGTCGGATAATTTTTATGCTTAGGGTACAATTTAACAACAAAAATAAACCAATTATTAAAAGGTTTATAACGAGTCATATGAAGTATATACTAACAAAAAACAACGTAAATCAACAAAAAATCTTTTTGAGGTTAACCAAAATCAATGACAATATATAGAAAGACTAGTAAGTGAAGACAAACTTGACGAAGCCAAAACAAAACAACGAAAACAATAATGAAATCAAGCTTTCTTATATAGTTTTTTGTTCGTTTTACCGCGCATAGTCTTCGGGATCACTTCCGTCTGCCTCAAGATATTGAAATAGTCGTTCGGAGCCGCGTTTCTGTGCGGCCGCATTCGGTAAACCGCCCGTAAGTAGATCGTGTGGCGGTATTAGCGAACCATTGGCGCTCAAACGCCAACCCACCATCGATGTGGGATTTACAATGATCTCCTGTAGTGGACCGCCGGTAATATTACCGTTACCATTGTCATTTGTTGTTGTCGTGGTGTATATCGTTACCGAGCCACCGCCACCGACGTTGCCGCCCTGATTGCTGGAAGTGGATGAGCTGCCACCGCCGCCGCCACCACTATGTGTTGTATGACTTTCGGTGCGGAAGGCGAAAAATATACAATAGTAAATGCAAAGGTGTGGATTTAAAGCAAAGAAACTAACGCACAATGTGTTGGGGCTAATAATTATTGGTTTGCTTTAATTAACTTCTTTGAAGAAATCAGCTTTAAAAAATTAGTTTTTTTATTTAAATCTCTTCTGTATTTTTTACATTAGTTTCACACCCCTAATTTGTCTAATAGTTTCATCTAAAATCTTGTCTTTCAGATTTCACTTGTTATTTAACTAGTTATTTAACCGTTTATTTACCTAACTTTCAGTTTTAACTAACTATTTAACCGTTTATTTACCAGTATGCCAGATTCGTATTTGAGAATATATTTATGCTCGAATCACTTGCTATTAAAGGGTTGCCAATTGTGCGCAATATATTCGAACTCGAATTCGAGTTCGACGTATTGCCGTTAATTAAGTGGTTAGTTGTATTTTGACTGCCGCGCGCCGGTCGCACGTCATTTGGACTGACGTGTGGAAAGCACAGAGAAGAAAGAAATTACAAGTATTAGATTTTCGATAATCAACTAAGAAAGCTACTGCCTTCTTGGTTAGTGGCACTACGCAGGGCTTAAAACTAGTTGTTAGTGGAGGTTAGTTGGTTTTTTTTTGTTGCCGAGGCCGCTAAAATGCCTACAGCGCTAACTACAGAACAGTTATTTAGTTAGTCAACAGAGAAATATTATCTTCGAACAATAAATAAACACATTCAATACTCACTGCACTTCGTTGATGTGCGCCTGAAACTCCTCCTGCGTGTCGCCAAGGAAGGAGCACTTGTTGCAGGCGCGCTTGTTGTGCACTTTCAGCACATGCGTGGCCAGACGTTCCGAGCGCGCCGCCTTATAATCGCACAGCAAGCAGACAAACGGTTTTGTGTGCGTATTGAGATGACGTTTCAAGCCCCACTTATCCGCGCCGGACCACGGACAGTAGCAGCAGGTGAAGCGTTTCTCACGTTTCGGCTTGAGGTTGCCACTAGTAGCGCCGGTGTTGCAAACAATGCCACCATTGGCGTTAGTCACACCGACAGCGATGTCATCTTGCTTCTCCTGCTTGAGTTGTGGCAGGGGCGCATCGGCCGCGGTGGCTACCGCCTCGATGGTCTCCGCAATGCTCATGCTCGACGAGGTCGGTTGGCGTTGCGCTTCCAGGAATGCATTGTCCAGTTGTACGTTGGCGCCCTGGAATATGATGTTGGGTTTTTGCTCCGGTGAGCCACAACTGTTGAGCGTATTGTTTGTGTGTTGTTGTGTATTTACCGTAGTGATGGTGACATTGCCGCGTCCGCCGGCATGCTGATTGCCAACGCCAGTGCCGCCGCCACTGTTGGACGTGCTGGCGGTTACGTGTCGCCGCGTCTTATTGATGTCATACTGCAATTCGCGATGCATGCGCAGGAAATGTTTCTTCACATGATCGGCACGATTGAATTGCTTGAGGCAGGCGAAGCATTGAAAGGGCTTCTCCTCTTTGTGTATGTTCTCGTGACGAGTGTAGAGATCTCGCCGGTCGGTGGAGTAGGGACAGTGTGTGCAGGCGTAACGTTTCTGCACTTGTACACCGCCATTGTTGTTGGCATTATTGCCATTTTGGTGGTTGTTATGAGAGTTGTTATTGTTGCTGTGTGACTTTTTACGACTATTGCCACCGCTCGAACTGGTGACGGCGCCGCTGTTGTTGTTCGTGGATGTAGGTGTTGTCTGCTGCTGGGCTTGGCCGGCATTCATGGTGTTGCCAGAGGTCGAGGGACTAGTGTAGATCACTTCGGTGGTGGAATCGTTGCGATTTTTTGATCTGAAAATAATTAAAGAGAAAAATGTGGTTAGTTTTGAGATTTTGAGAGGCTTAGTTTATATGGCAGCTATATGCTATAGTGATCCGATCTGAACAATTTCTTCGGATTTGATGCAGTTATTGCGGATAAT